AGGTATTCGGGCACTCCCACCGAGCATCAAGCCGCTTGGCAAAAACCTTAAGAATGCTCTCGACTGGCAATTTAAGGGTGGTGTAGTACGATATAAGATCATTACCGCGCGTATTAGTGGGGGGCTCCACTCCTAAGCTAGTAAGAAAGGCTAGTACCTTGCTTGCCCAACACTCAGTGGCGCCCCCAAGTGCCAACTCCAGGTCAGCGACAAATGCCCGGTGACACAACGTTCCCGGCCTCTTAACCACAGAGTTCCAAAACCTAAGTACAAGATTGGTCCAATGGAACTGGAGTGGCCTCTGTGACAGCTCGCGATATAGGGAAACCATAGTCGGGCTCCTCGCCCCAACTACGGTTCGCATGTAAGCACGTTGTTCCTGGACCATGGGATTAGCCATAGCACCTTCAAAATTCACATTAATGAAGTCAGGTCCCCAAACTTGCGCTCCATAAGGAAACACCGGTACAACTAGTGTATTGTAGAGAGACATACATAGCTTGGGGGTGGTAATTTTCTTATCACGACACAGGGTGCTGAGCCCAAATGTGGCCCGCCTCCCTGCTGTGAGTAGTTGCTTGGTACATGCTGAGAACTGCACTCCTGGGCCATAGTGCAACCCGAGATACCGTGCCGTCTCGTTGCCGGTCAGGACCCGCAACCCCGCCCCACCTAACCGGTACTCAGCTTCAACAAGCCGCTTCCGCTCACGCGTAGCACCCCCAAAAATGAGGACCTCGCACTTGGCGGCATTCGCGGCCATACCCGTCGCTTTGCAGTAGGCTTCGAGTAGCCCCAGAAGGCATTCAGCTCTATCGTGCCCTGTCGCTACCAGTGACACATCGTCAACGAAAAGTAGGTTAGTGAGATCACCGCCCGCCAGGCTAACACTCTGCTCACGAAGGGTGCTCCATCGGCTGGGGAGGCATATACGGCAATTAGCATCATGGGCATCAATATAATGAGCGAATACTTCTATGAAGAGTCCAAAAAGGGTTACGCTAAGGGGACACCCTTGCTTAACACCACGCCCCACCTTGAATTCAGGTCCCAACTTATTTCCTAACTTGACCCGAAACTTCACGTCAGCATAGCTAGCCTTTAAAGAATCGAGGATGCTCCCGTGTAGCCCATACGACATTAGGAAATCCCAAAGTGTCTCATGGTCAACGGAGTCGAACGCCTTACTAAAGTCAATTTGCATGATAATAAGCGGCCTGGCTCCGGCCACAGTGTGCTTCGAGATAAGATGCCTTAATGTAAACAAGTGATGCTCGGTGCCAAAACCATGCCTACATCCAGCCTGGCTAACGGCACGTAGCCTATTGCCCTCACAGTAATTATTTAATCGCCTCCCTATGATATTGGCATAAAGTTTGCTCAGGGGACCCCCAACTGCAATTCCCCGGTAATTGTCACAGTAAGACACGTCCCCTTTTTTGAATACGGGGGACAGGGTGCTAGTCGTGAATTCCCTCGGGTATTCAGCTCCGTATATGCGGTTGAATAGCACCGTTAAGTAAGGCGCCAATACAAGCACGGGTTGCTGCCCTTCAGTTTCCCTGATAGCGTACTTATAATACTCGGCCGGGGTTCCCTCCAGGCCCGCGGACTTATTGTTGCGCATAGCCTTAAGGCCACTAGCAATTTCATCCTCCGTAAAATCCTTGTTAAGCCAAGCAGCTAATTCCCGTCTGTGTGTCACCTGATCCTCGTCCAGCCATCTAAACTGAATACCCTCATTGCGGCATTGCCTCGTCTCTCCTGTACCATTAAGCACCTTGGAAAAATGCTCGGTAAAAGCATTAATATCTGAGATCCCGCAAGGAGGTAGTTTTCCCCCACGCAGCCATGTCCACAATCCGCGTGGGTTGAACCGGGCGTCCTTAATCCTCCTCCGCATATCTTCCATTTCAAACTCCTGAATAGCGGCCTTCCTAGCCTTCTTAAAGGCACGGTGCTTGGCCTTCCAGGTAGTCCTATGTAGATTGGGCAGCTTGCCTGAGACGGGGTCCCTGACCTCCTTACGGAAACTCATCATATCATTCCACGCAGCTGCACAGTCCTCGTTCCACCAGTCACGCTTCACAGACTTTTCCATTCCCCGTGCACCGCCGAACGTCTCTCTAGCACACGTATTGATAAGGGTGCGCAGGTCATTCATGCTTTCGTCACAGGGTGCCCCTTCTACAAGCTTTTCCTTGAGAGAGTTGATGGTCTCTGTAATAATGCCATCTGGTTCACGAAAAAGCTCAGTGAAGCGGCCCTTGCGTGAAATATCAAAAATAGGGATCCGTTCACGTGCTAGGTGAGGCTTCCGACCCCGTGCAGCCCCTGGCCTCAAAACGGCATGCAGGCGAAGGATAAGCGGGTGATGATCACTCAGCACATTGGACTCTCCCCATAAGTAAGATCTAAGGACTTTGAGAGTGTTAATCTGCTCGAAGAGCCCGTAAGATGCAAGGCACAGATCAATAGAACTGTGACCCTCAGTAGAGTTGGAGTAAGTGAAGCCCCCGGGCACATCACCAGGTGCCCGCCCATTGACAATGGCTAGCCCTGTGTCAAGACACATTTGTGCCAATCGGCGGCCAAAACAATTCAGCCCACTATCTCTATTTTTACGGGGAACGCCGACGAGGGAGTGTGCCCCTATTCCATTTACTCCGGGCAAGTCTAGAATAGTTGCTGTACGGGCATTAAAATCACCTGTGATAAGCACCTCATCACCCATGCACCGCAGTCTATCTAGCTCGCCAGTAATGCTTCCAAATACAGCGTCGGGGACCTCGCTATACGCCAGGCCACTACCATCCGTGCTGCTATAAACGCTGGACCCCTGGGGCGAGCAGTAACCAGCCCCCAGTAGGAGCGCCCGCCCTCCAGGGAGAACGCTATGGAATCGCAACCAGACGATCTCCACCCCAACGGGTGTATTCGTTAAGCCCACTTCTCTCACGCAGGGGGCCAGCTCATCACGCACAAACACAGATACACCGCCTGACCTTCGAGAGCCTGTGCGCGGTGCTCTAGCACATGCAAGGTGGCTATAACCCTGCAATACTAGTTGCTCCTTGGCACGAGTGCGATTAACGGGCGCCTTCGTCTCTGTAAGGATGATAACATCGTGATTGAGCAATCCACGAATAGCCTTAATTTGGTCAAACTTGCCTGCCGAGAAGGCGTGGATATTCCAAATAAGGAAATGGATGCTATTACCCCCCCGGCGTGCTCCCTACTTAGCTGCCTGCCTCAGCTCTGCAGCCATTTTGCGGATGTCTATTTTCGCCCAGACACCGCTGTCTGGCTCAGTAAGCGCCATGAGGTGAGTACCCCGCCATGAAGGGGCCCTCTTACTATCGACTAGGTGCCGAAATACGTCCTGGTACCCTTTCTTGTACGATTCGCCAAGTGCTGTGAGCGCCAGTGACACTCTCACAGCCGGGAACGACTCATCCGCTCCTTCCTCCGCATTAAGGCCCAGCTGCTTCCGTAATGAGTACAGGGCATAATATGCCGCTGGGGTTGTCGTGATTCGAACCCGCTGGGTTGTCCGCTTGCTGCTGCGCGCAGCGATGTTCGGGTGTGCCTCGACGGTGCAATCTAAGAACGCGACCTTCATGTTCGTAAGCTGCTGCAAGCGCAGTTGCAGTTTCTGGATCACTTCCTCCTGCGTCCAAGTAGCTGGTAGTCCGTCGATGACCAGTGCATCCCGGTCTATATGTCCATCGGTGCTGCTGGTAGTCTCAGCCAGTGCTTTGGGGGGCCTGGGAGCAGGGGCGCCTGCTGTCATGCCAAACCCTCTGCAGCTTGCGGCCACCTCATGTGGTCTGGTAGTGATCGCCGTCACCTTTGGGGCTTTGGAGGTGGTGGTATCAGCGACGGCTCTGTTAGGTCTTGGTTGCTGTTTTGGCTGCTGCTGCTTCGGCCGTTCTTGCTGCTCCTTCTGGAGTTCTTCCCGGGGATCTTGTTGGTCTTGCTTTGCAGGCGGCGCTGCTTTGGGGCCCATGCGACGCCCCCCCGTGGCTTCAGTACATCGTGCACCATCTGCCGGGGCTGTGCGCGTGCGCTCCCAGTCATTGAAACGCTCCTCGAGCGTGGCAACATGGGCAGTAACGCTGTCCACGTTCTCAGTCATTTCTCTGCAGTGCACCGCTTGTTCCCTTGGCCCGCTTGCGGCGTGCTCGGCGAGCCGCTTTTCCAGGGCCTCCATCCGCCTATCAAGGGCCTTTGCGTCCGCCGATTGGCTTCGCGTAATGATTGGCTCACTTCGTGCCGTGCTTCGCTCGGTCTCGAGGGCTTCAATGCGCTCATTTAACTCCTTTAAGCGTTGCGTCGTGAGCCTGCGCTCACCCACCGTGGCATCAAGCTCCTGTCGCAACACAGCATTCCGCTCCTGAAGGCTTTTAACAACCTCTGCCTGCTCTTCGACTAGGCTTCTCAGGTCGTTAATGCGATGCTTCATGTCATCGCTAGTCTGCTGGCATCTGTCAACATGCCCTGCCAATAGGCTCTGGAATTCCGCTTTAATTGTTGAAATGCATCCATCCAGGAATGGCCTGCAACTCTGAGCAATGTGCTCCTCTAGCTGCTTAGGTCCTGGAGTTTTCCTGCCAGGTGTAAAGACGTTGACCGTGGCTGAGCGTCGCTTGACTCCAATTATTTTGCGACGCACATTACGATCTTTTCGTTCAGTTAAATCAAAAAGTACTCTAGTTACTGGTCGCGCTAATTTCGGTGTAGGGCTAATAGGGGTCATATGGACGTCGGGTTGTGACATTATGGTTGTGACATGTTTTTATGGTGATTTTGTTAAGAGTGCTAAAGTCAAGGCATAAAATACCAAAACTACCAATACTGAAGTTAACAATAGTATTAACAGTAATTGTTGAAATGTTCTAAGGGAAATGTAGTGTACTACAGGTGGGGGAGCCCTCTTGTGTCGGGTTGTCTTCTTAGGGGTGTTTTTAGGGCTATGCCTGGCAGGTGTGTGGGGTATGATGGGTTCCAGCATGTGCCCGGTGTGTTGGGTCTGCTGTGTGGGTGCACCCTACGGGGCTGACCTGACGCCTTGCCGCGCCGCGGTGTCATGTACCGTCTGCAATGCAGCCACCTGTGTCTATCCATCATACTGACACGGCCACTGTGGCCACGAGCATGCCTAGTCTCGGTGCCGCCATGTATTTGGGAGTGGGAGGCCAGCTCCCGCAGCCCACGGCATCCTGCACACACGCACCACACGGGTTTGGGGAAACCGCCAGTACCCCGGGATAATGATGACGGTTTCCTGGTTTTTCCTCCATAGTGTGGCACGGTCCGTCTCTGCAAGCGCGCCCGCCACAGTTCCCCATCCCACTTCACTCTAAGTGACACTGCACCGACACTTACCCTTTCTCTTCTCCATCTTCTTGGGCATTGGGATGTGTGTCTCTTAGCCTGCTTACTGTGCGCTAGACACGCCACATTTGTTTCTTTCACATCCCCTTCCTTGCTGCTGCCCTATGCCTGTGCTTCCACCGCTGCCTGTAGGTGAGGCTGGGAGTTAGGCGTGCTGGGTAACCGTTGGTAGCAGGTTCGGCAGGCTTATTGACGCATATGGGTGCATTTCGGGGACAGGGCGTAGGTATTGTAGGTAACGCGATATATGGTCTGGGTTCTTTCCATTATCATTGAGCAACACACAAACACATGTACACATACACATGCCCAGGTTGAGCCGTTCGTGCCCGTGCTATTCGTGGTGCCCATCCTGTTCATCACCACCATGGTGCTGCACGAGGGGCTGGGCGTGCACATCATGTCACCAACAGCCAGGTGGGGTTGTGTGTGTGGAGTCATGTGTGTTGGAAAACGAAAACAGAAAGAATGCCCCATCGCTCGGTGTTACTTGTGGAATACCTACGAATACCGCTAGGACTGTAGCCGTGTAGCCCCGTAGTCATGTGTGTGTGCACATGGAGGCTTGTGTGCGCTTGCGTGTGCGTGGAGGCATGTGTAGAGGCGTGCATGTCCGCCCCAAAAGCCATTGCCTGCCCTATGTTGACCCGGCTGCTCACTGACATCCTCAAGTACATCCCACTATGCACACCACCCATACATACACTACACACACAAACACAGAACAAACACACACATACACTTTCACCTGCCCGAGCAGCCGCACACTGCTCAAGTTCGGCATCGCTGTGGGCAGCCGCTCCATGATCCTGCTCAAGTCGCTGCTGCTGGGCAAGGGCTCGCAATACTACAAGCGTGAGAGCAACATGGTGCGTTCGACAGGGTGTCGTGAGGTAGTGCAGCTGGGTGATGCAGTGAGGTGGTGTGGCCACATGGGGCAGTGTTGATGAGGCTGTACCGCTGCTGGAGCTAGGCAGTGATTTTTTTTTCATTTGGGGGGGTCTCAATTATTCCGACCTAAGTAACAAAGTTGCTAGCGTCACCGTAATGTATTCCTTAAGAGTGGGGCGCTGGGGGGGGCGTAGCCCCCCCAGACCCCCCCCGATAAGTTACAACTCCCCTCATAGACCAAGAGGCACGCACTGCGTTGGCGCGTTTTGTCTGCCATCTGTGGGGATTTTTTTTCTGCTTGTCCCGCCATGCACCGTCGCTCATGCCCTTGCGGATGCGCTGTGTCTGAGCCCGCTTGGCACTGCGAGCGCTCGGGTTGGGCGCCTCGCCGCATTCGTTGTTGTCGAGCTGATTAGGTGACAGCTTGCGCTTATGCTGATCACAACCGCCATGGAAGACAGGGGTAATGGCGCCCGTGTCATCGGTCGCCGCTGTCAGCAACACCATTGCCGATGCATTACCGACAACAGCACCGCCGTCCCAAACGCCTTTATCAGGAAAAATTTCAGGCTTATCGTGCTGTTTTGGTGTTTGTTCGGCGTTCAAGTCGTTGCCTTTTGTGTGTTTGGCTATGTAAGGACCGGTCATACATTCTGCTATGCCGCGTTGACTCACGGGCTGGACCTTCTTACGGCCCCTCATATCTATTCTATGATCGATAATACTAAGTTCTGCACACTACGGAGCAATCTGGCAGCAATGGACGTTTTTGGCTGGAGGAATGTAAATGTACGGATCGGCCTCAATTTGTTCCTTATTTCCAAAGGCCAAAATGGCCTCTTTATTCCTTAAAAGGAATATATTACTTAAAAAAAACACTGGAGCTAGGTGTGCAGCTGACACACATGCCACCTTGTGCAGCGGTACGACACACAACCTCCTCACGCCCACACGGCACTCTTCCCACATCCCAGCACCCACTGCACCCCTGCGCAGGAGTTCTTCATCATTGTCTCTACCGGCTACTTCATCCAGATCCCCTTGCTGCACGAGGTGGCCGTCAGCGGCGGCACCATGCTCATCATCTGCATGCAGGCGGCACTGTGCCCGCACCACTTCCTGCCCGAGGTCAACCCCCTCAACGTGGTGCTGCAGGTGGGCGGTTGGAGTGTGGCGGGCATGGGAGGCTTGAGCAGGGTGGGCAGGGGAGGGAGGGGGAAGGGATAGGTCAATCCAAACCCAAGCAAAAGACCGAGACCCTGAACCGAAAAACCACCACCTCAGCGAGCGTGAAGGAGACCTTTGTCCTGAGCAGCCTTGTTCTCCTGGTCGGTGTAGGATGTTGTCCAAGTAGCACGACAAACTTATCGATGTACTGCCTGAACATACGGTCAATCACGGCTTGAAAAATAGCAGGGGTGTTAACAAGGCCGAAGCTCAAAACCGTGTACTCAAAATGACCGAAAGGAGTACGACTAGGGGGGCGGCTTTGAAAAGCCGAAAAGGGGCTCGGCCCCGGTGCAGCCACTTGACCCCCGTTTGATTCGCAGGGCAGTCCGTACGGCATAGGAGTGCAAGCACAAGAACACCGCCACGTTTGGAGTACACAGTTGTCATTGAAATACTCAACCAAATAAGGTCGGCAGACTTGCTACGGCAGTGTAGACCTGTTTGGATCGTCGCAAGCACGCAGCCGCCATAGCATAATCATTATTGACTGAACAGTTAGCCTTCTCGTGATGCGACAATCCGTAGAATAACATACACACAAAGCAGGAGTGTCATTGCGGCAACGTGTGTTGCCGCTGCTGCGCCATGTCCATGAGTCGGGACTGCCCGATACGTAGGTGGTACTACCGTTGCATCCATGTTCGACACCGGCCCTTCGGTCTGCAGGCTGGCAGTTAAAGTGCCCGTGCTTCATGGACCAATTGTTGTCCGCTCCCAAAGCTCCCAGCCAGAACGCATTCGGGGATCGTTCCAATTGCACATTTTGAAGTCGGCGGCAAAGCTGATGGTGTGTCGCAAAGGCACACTTCGTTTGGACTTGGATTGAATCAATGAAGAAGAGAATAAGGAGGACAACAATCAAACAGGCACGAGCGAGACGCCAGGAGGGAGGTGCTTAGAGCGTTGCCATGGGTCGGTCTAAAGTTGCTAAGCATCAAGGAACCAATCCATAAAGAATCATGCCGTTTGCTTATGAATCTATGATGTAAGGGACATGCAACGACATCAGAGGCAAGGGCTGCGGCGTGAGGGGAAGTCAAACTCGAAGCCATGGAAGCTATCTTCGCGCTCCGATGTATCTGAATGTTCTCTTTTAGCAAATCGATAAAGATTTGATGTAGCTTTTACATGCGATCTTTAGCGGAGTGAGATATGTAAATTGATCTCACCCTGGAAAGGTGCTGTTCACGGATGACCGGCCCTATTTGCCTTTTATTGCCACTTACTAGCAGGAGCGTCAGTAAAATTGGAAGTCACCTATAGGCCGGGCCATCGCCTAATAGGTAGGACCGCGGAATATGTGGAGTATAGGTGATTTCGCGTATATGATCGTATACATCACACCTATAGGCGATCTGTTGTATACAGCATGGTCTATAGGCCTGTAGGCTATAGGTTACCATGTGTACGCATGCAAAACTGTGAGAGCCTAATAGTCCGTTGTATAAAGGTATGCCTTTATGTAGGCCACTCGTGTAGACAGTGTTCGGGGCAAAGCTGCACTAGCTGCTGCGTGCGAAACACCTTTGACCTCCCTCAAAATGCTGCAAACTATGAGGTCTGTGCATATGAACCGTTTTGTATTCACCCGTCATGCCGAGGCACATGCATCGATGGAGTCCATGCAACGCCGTCAGGCACCCCTCGTCATTAAGACCTGCTAGGAAGACCTCCTATTCGCGCCAGTTGCACCGCAAACGCCTACGAAATTCCACAAATATTAAACTGTTAATAATTCTCGTATTCTTAGGTATCACGCGTGTGTATGCTTTGAAAATACAAAAGTTTTGCGACCGAAACTAGTTTCTGGCTTGCCGGGGTGGCAAGGTCTAAACCTCTTTTCCAAAAGCACTGAAATGAGTTCTGCAAGGTTATAATCTTTTCGGGTCTTTTGCTTGATAAATGCATTCCGATACGGCGGTGACAGGAGGTGGCATCTACGTCGACTTGAAGGCAGCCCTAAGACCAATGGGATGAACTAACAGATTTAAATTATGTTTCTTGGCTGCGCTAAGTATTTTCCTAGGCGAGAAGTTCATGGTCTGCTGCCGACCCAACCTCCGGTACGACAATGCTAGACAAACGTAGCAGATGTTCATAAATGACTTTGTTTATGTCAATATTATTGCTATAGAGGCTCTGGACCGGACGGGTGTAAGATGTGCGTTGGTCGACGCGTTGGCCTTACGAAGAAGGAGAAAAACGCGAAGAGAACACGTGAATTCATATGCATAAGTCATGGACGGCGACGTTTTACGCTCTGAATGGTAATTCCTGCTTTTGTGTTCGGTTCTGGACCTCACATGTTGTCGTACCGGAAAATTTCCTTCCTGTACGGCGGTCACAGGAGGTATCTACGTCGACTTGTATGCAAAACAATTACACCTAGGGATCATATGGCGGTTGCACTGCATGTTTCTTGGCCGCAGCCAGCAGCAAACTCAAATGGAGTTGGGCCATTTGCCCAGAGGCTGCCGCATGGACGACAAGCCAGGCTAACGCAGCTGATGTTCATGAGTGCCCTTTAGATTCTAAGTATAAAAGTGGAACAACGCCTACTTTACATTCTGCGTTAAGTACTACCGGTAAGACGTGACCAATACTCACGTGAGATCCCGGGATCGAGCCACGGTAATAAAGGATGCACTTTTAAATCTATAGACACTACAAGGATAACGATGCAATAAGTGAGGTAGTGAGGTCGCGCGATCGATTAGAGCGATGACTTGGGTATCTAAAGGGTGACTCGTAAGAAAAGCCTATTATGTGATGCCTGTACAGGTCCTATTATAGGAAATCATGTATACTTGCGTCTATATAGACAATGTCGTTTACAACATCAAGTGTATACATACCTGTATACCGCATAGCCTAAACATCCCTTGCTACAGGTTATGATGTAAAAATGTACTTATAATACTATGCCATACATGATCGTATATTAGGCCATCACTTACACATGCGCCTCTTATGCCTAAGCCTTTAAGTCTCGTATAATATGTGTACACCTTACTGGCCTATATACCTTTCACCTATTTTCCCGAATATCTCGCCTATACAATGCCCGAAAAAGTACAGACGAGGCGATTTCCTTGATGGTGTAGTATTTTGGAAATCTGTTAGCATGGTTTTGGAAGGTTTATAATTATATTATAATATTGTGAAATTGCAGTGCATTCGGGCCTGTAGGGGGGCCGTATTCTTGCAGTTCTATGACGCGGCCTGTGGTCAAAATAGGGCCGGTCATCTGTGAACAGCACCGAAAGCTATCTTCGGGTGCAGATGTATCTGAATTCATTCCCTTGGTCTATCGATAGAGAATTAGAATAGCTTTCTTACGCAATTTAAAGCGGGGCACGATATGAAAGTTAATATGTTAGGAAGCTAACTTCGCCCACAAATTTATCTGAATTAATTCCATTGGTCAATCGATAGAGGATCAGAAATAAGATGAAATGTTACACCATGACTGACGGACGGACGGACGGACGGACTGACAGCAGTGAACCTAGAGGGCTCGCCCTGCGAAGCGCCCAGGGCCTCGCCCCCAAAAGCGGTCTTAGGAATATCAGACTCGGCAATGCGAATTTGGTATATCCCTGCTGCAGATCGATAGAGCTATAGTAAGCAGATCCACAGAGCATATCAAGCAAATCGTCTACACACGGAAGAGGGTGCCGATTTTCAACAGTCATGGAATTCAATCCACGGTAATCTATGCACATGTGCAGAGAACCGTCCGCCTTACCCACAAACAAAACCGGGGCAGAGAAGGGAGATGTACTCGAACGAATCATGCCTTTAGCAAGCAGATCAGTAACCTGCCTTTTGACCTCATCAAGCTCAAGAGGGCTAAGTCGGTACATAGGGTGTGCGACAGGTGGGGCGTCAGGCGCCAACCGAATCATGTGATCCAAGGGGCGAACTGGAGGGATACCCGGAATCTCACGGAAAACATCAGTGTATTCCTCAAGCAGCGCAGAAACCTGAGTGGGAAGAATCGCAGAAGCTGCGACTAGCAAAGCATGTGCCCCCTTGCAAATAAGATGCATAGCAGCCTTACGACCATTAGACTCGGGGGTAGCATGTGCACACATAGCAGCGGCCGCAAAATTAACAAGAGGCACCGATAGCCGCGGTATCAGGACAACGGTGCTTGCATGTGATGTAATGCCGAAGCGAAATGCGCAGGTGGGTGAGGGATGCAGGGACAAAAAGCACAGTATGACAGCCAACATAGACCTAACTGTTATATTACACTTTGACAGTGACAGCATCAAAAAAAACGGCGTCCAACAGCACTCTCAAACTTGCTGCAGCTGCACGATGATCGGCATCCGTAGAATCATTAAAATTTATGGGGGTGTTAGCTGGACAGTGCAGAGCAAAAGGGGCCAACGAGGGCAAAGAGTGTGGCTGATCATCAATAATAGAGCCAAGTGGCCTCAACCGAATATTGTCAGCAGCCCCAGTGGGCATCTGCAACAAAGGTGCTGCAGCAAAAGTAGAGAATGGCGAACAGTAACAGGCACCTCAGTAGGGCCAACCAGAGCTCTAGAACTCAGCAACCGTGTAAGCAGGCGGTTGCCTCGGTTGCATGTCTACACCATTACGGTCACTGCCCAAGTTGGATAGGGCAGAAGTAAGCATTTTGTCAAAATAAAGAAGTCCTACCCTTATGAAGCAGTAACTTGGTTAGTTACGGCCTTGGACAATGGGAAAGATTGGAGAAGAGGCTCTATCTCGATTGGGTCCACTACACCCATTCTAACTTCTGTGAATACAATGAGCGATGCGGGCAAAACAGTACAATTAATTACGATCTTTCACTTACCCTGAAGAGCTGTGGTGAGTGCCCAAATGCTGTAGGACTTGGACATCTACTTAATCAAGATTGCTGTGGAAGAATACCACTTGTGGTATCCACTTCCACTGTTCAGGTGGTAGTGAAAACTACCGATTAGTGAATGGAGGGATGCTAAGGGGGTGTTTCCATTTGGATAAAAAGTCGCGGATTAAGGCTTAATCCGTCAGAAACCCCAATCCGTCCTAATTTGACGGATTAGGCGGATTAAGGTTCACGGGATTAGTTAGAAATGTATGCCCATATTCACACGCTTCACAGATTAAATATAGATTAACATGCTATGAAATGTGCGCATTTTTCCTATACTAAAAGCTCAAACTTGGTGGGAAACATTTGCTACCTGGTGGCCACCAGGTATCAAATTGACAATCTTGGATTAATATGTTTCATAGAACGTCATAAAAAGCCTGATTGATATCTTGGAAGGTATTTTCCAAAGAGCTTAAAGCTTCGTGGTCGCTATCATGCACACCACCACGGTCTCGAGCCAATGGTACACCATCCTACAAGGCCTTTGGCTGAGCACAACGGTGGTTTGGGTGTGCAAGTATGCCACCTTACGCAAGGTGGCACACTAGGTATACCTAGACTCACAACAGCCTGCACCGACACCTCCTGAACCTCTTCCCCACCCTCTCCCCTTCCCCATTTCCTTTCTTCTGGATGCACAGGCCATCACCGCCACCGTGCTTGTGCTGATGAATGCATCCTACTGGCAGCACCGCCGCCTGGCAGCATTCAGTGCAGCCGCAGGGGGAGTGGGGCCCGGCTCAGGCAGCTCGACTGCTGAGGGTGAGCTGTGCAGACAGTCAGGCAGTGCCCGGAAACTGACAAGTTGTGTGATAGTGTCGAAGCCTTTGGATATGTCCAGGGGGCCAAGTGTTCACCAGGTCGTGGACTTTGCTTGCAGCTGTGGGCAGTTGATACACTGCATGATGCATGTGTGGGCTTACTGTGCACCTGTTTTCACTGGCCAATCGTGTTGCAGATGTGGAACATTTGCTCAAGGCCATCCAGTGTAATATGCAAAGCAACCATCGTGACATGATGAAACGCACTGACAACATGGTGAAGTGCACTGACTTCTTAACGAGTGTGGTGCTTGTGAACCTGAAGCACCACTTGAGGCCACCAACTTCAGGGCACGCATCACGTGGCTCCAACCAGGTCTTCCGCCGCCGCCTTATGAAGTCCTATGGCATGACCCCGAAGGTAAGCGGGCATGTGGCAAGGCACCACACACACTGACCTAAATGTCTGGAATCTCGCTACAATCTGTGAGATGTAATCTGACTGGGTCATGGTTGTCAGATCCCGCACCCTTACCTGTAATGCTCCCTATTTGTTCGACCATTGCAGTCAATGTGGTGCATGGTGCTGGGTAAGGCGCTTCCCGACGACTTCCTGGTTGCCACCCACCTTTTTGCCGTGCGATGGGAGGTGGGTATGGGCCCTGGGTGTGGGCAGTGTGCATCGTTGCATGTTCAGCCTTGATTACCACATGCTGATCAATCAAAGTCTCCCCCTTGATGTGCCCTGTCCCTGTCATGTGTTGCCATTTCTTAAGAATCCATGATGCAGCAGTGGGATGGCCACATATTATGCAGCATGTATGTAGTGGCTGGGCTGTCTAGACAAGAGGGCTGTGGCACTTGGTCACAGTGATATCACCTGACCAGGGGAAGGGGGTCATGCCTGGGCCTTGCTTATTGCAGCGGTATGCAGACATCATCATGGGCAGTGACTTCCACATCGATGGCTCCCAGAATGGCATCATTTTGTGCAGCGCCATCCAGCATGAGTACGAGCTGCAGAACATCTGCTTCTCGAAGGGCAGCAACAAGCTTAAGGATGAGTTCATCCTGCACGTGCTGGACAAGTCCCTGCTGCCAAAGAAGCTGTCATCCGTGGGTCAGCACAAGTGAGTTTGCCTCCATGCCACACATGACGGGAATTTGCCATTTGGTGCAAACTGAGCTACCCAGTGTCATGCAGTGCGACAGGTTGTTTGATTGAGGACGGCCTTGGGACAGCATTATTTTTTTGCGGAATATATTCCGAATTCGGAATAAAAATTGTTCGTGGTCCTGAAAGTTAAGAATAAATAATGTTCCGACCGTACAAGTTCATTCCTCCAGCCAAAAATGGACTGTCCATGCCAAAGCAGCTAGAATCTCACAGGAGACATACATGTTAACCGTATCATAGTACTTTAATGCCGTGAATACTGTTTGGAAGCTCACACCCGAAAGTCAACGAGGAATTGGACTGTTTTTGACTGGACCAAACACTGCAAACATTCGGACCCAAAGCTCCCAAAGCATGGAGGGCAATTAAAGCAGGTATTAAACTTCACTGAAGCCATTAGCAACGTTAATGAAGACAGTGTAGAGGTCGTAGGCAATGTTGACGCAATGCTGCAGCCAGCCGATGACAATGACGCCAATCCAGTTGTCAACAGTGAGCAGGCCAAACATCAGCGTTCGTCATATGGAGACAATCATGATGGGCCAGGAAACAGGTTGTGTTTGGTGGTTCTGGTTCATTGCCGCTATTCATCATTACTTTTGCAACCCGGAAAGCCATGTAATGTAATCTTTCAACGTGAATGTTAATGAATCATCGAGGGTTTCTGGTGAAGCAGCTGGCCGTGGTCATTGCGGTTCATTGTAGGGTGACCGCAATGACCACGGCCAGCTGCTGCCATATGGTGGCGAAAGTAACTTGCCGTGCATAAGGTGCACGATGGCGAGTGGTAGTGAGAACACTGCAGTCTGAAGGAAAGGCAGCACCGGCATGTGTGTGTATGTGGAAGTGTTCTGTGGGTGGGTGGAAGCCACTGCTAGCAGTGGGGATATGGACAGCGTGTTCAGGCAGCCGGACGCACATCACAACTGTTTACACACACGTTGAAAAGGGGAAAATGTATGGCGCCCTGGCACTGTGCACGACACAAAGTTTGTAGAACCGTGGTGCACAGTAGGGTTGTAGGGATGTAGGCAGGTCTTTAGGCCCCCAAAACAAGCGGGCGGCTGTGGTGACTGCAAGCTTTTGATACCAGTCTTTCCTTTCAGGCATGCAACGTATACGTTGCATGCCTGAGGGCGCTGTGAAACACACCTGACGCGCCAGCAACATGCAGCAACCGTTGCGTGTCTTGATAACAGGGCACTGCTATCATCGGCCTGCCGTGCCGACTGAAGCTGCATGTGCCCAGGTTTAATGCCGCTTGGTGATTATTCAAGGAACCGCATGACCTTGCAGCGCTCCTCTCGGGTTGGATGAAGGGCAGCACCCCTTGCCGGCAATATGCGGTGTATGTTGCCCATGCCCGCTGCTGCTTATGAAGGCTGCTCTCAGCAAGCCAAGCAAGCAAATATTCTATCCTCCATTGAAAGTATCCTTTTTTAAGATTGCCGCTGTCACCGCGAGCTATCCTTTACATTTTTGTTTCTTTTTTTATTGTCTTTCTTCTTTCTTTTTTTGTTTTTGTTTCGCAACTTTTAAGCAGCCATTATTAAGCAGTTCAATTGTTCTGTGGACGCCTGCATGCCAAATGATCTGCAGACCGCTCGACTTCACGCTGTGGCATTTCACAGTAGCTGGAGCAACCCGCTGGCCGGTCCGCACAGCAGCCAATCTGGCGTCTGTCAACGCACGCATTTTCCACATGCATAGCACTCCACACGCATAGCACTCCTGGCTCTTGAAAAGGTCAGACCCTTTGTTGCGCGGCTTCATATTTTGGGCATGATAATCAAGCCTCTTCAGCTCCCGATCGAATTTCGCCCGCCCGCGAATTTTACACACATATGTATCAAGCCCGCGTTCTCGGCTTTCGAGAGCTGGCCTTTGCACGGCCGGGGGTCTGGGGGGGTTGGAGGCCCCCCCCAGCACCTTACAGATTCGGAATACTTTTATTCCTGCAACTAAAAACCTATTCCTCCATTAGGACTGGAAAGTTAACCAGCAAAACTGAAAAAAAAAACACTGCCTTGGGATGCCTCCCATGAACACACAGGAATGACACAGCCTTTGTGAAGGTGCTGGGTGACATCACCTTTGGGGACCTTCACAACAAGCATGTGAAGTTCGAGAGCACCACCGGCAAGGGGCCCTACAATCGTGCTCTGGCCCTGCAGGTAAGTAGTGCCAACTGCACGCATTGAGTGCTCTTTATCTGTGGTGCTTTAGCAGCACTACCATCTCTGCACTTTCTCTAAGTAAGAATTCTATAGTATTGCCATAAGAGAACAGAAAGAAGCTGTAGGTTTTTTGTCCATAGGCACATTTCTTGCATACTTCTATTATTTTCATTTTTCTTATTAAAAGGAGCTGCTGGCCCCCCATGTTACTTCAAGCACATCCCGACCTGTGAAACCACCTGGCTACATGCATTGGAACCCTGTACTGCATATGGTATGGACTGTGCAGGCAAGGTTAGCACTGGAGCATTGTGCAAAGACTTACCCGAACGACTTCGACCCGACAGTGTACCTCTTTGATGACATGTCACAGCATGATGGCAAGGAGGAGTTCATCCAGATGTGGCTGACCCGGCTAGACACTGGAAGTGTTGTGGAGGTGGAGACGGAGTCATCCATGTTCCCAGAGGACTCGGTGGACATGGAGGAGGTGGAGGACATGGAGGAGGTGGACATGTAGTGAAGGGGCCCTTAGATAGAGGCATGCAGGGTCCCAGGAAGTGGTGCATGACCCAGGAAGTGGTGGCCCAGCAGGGGATGGACATGTGCAGTTCTCTGTTGTGTGCCGGGTGAGATAGCACTGACGTGCAGCTGTGTGTAGTGGTGGGGCTGGGTGGTAGAACAGCAAAACTGCACATGAGAGTAGACACTGCACCAGCGCCTACAGCTCGGTTCATGTGTGGGTGCATCTGTATGTTTTTCTGAAGGGGCCAGAACTCATCATACACTTTTATTCAGCAACATCAGGGATTTCGAATCCAGCTTCAGTCATCCCTTGTCTGGTTTTGTGAGACACAAGACAGAATCACGACTACAACTGATTTGCCTTAACTGTTATCCCCTTAGGCTAGAGTTGCTCCTGATACTACTGCTGTTACTGATCGGCTAGGACTGCTGGGCAAATATTACAATTGGTGTTCTGGACTGTGTGCTGGTGTCACTGCAACGCCCCATAGGGCCTCAACCATCCCTTTCCTTTTGGTGTGTGTTTGTGTTTGTGTGAATAGCAAGGTAGGTGTTCTCCTATGTCGAGTGTGGCAGGTGTCTCTGCAGGTGTTCGATGAACTGCTTATGTGTGTTGTGGAGGTTTCCCTCAGCTAGGCTAATCTACTGCTTTTTCCTTTACTATTTTTTTATATTATCAGGACTGCTGGGAGCAGTTTCATTGCATCTTGATAATAATGCAGTAAGCTCTGTTATATGATGTTGATGATCCATTTTATATAGGTTCAATAACACATATATCCACAAATACACAAGGATATGCATGTCCGAATGATGGGTGTGCCATACAGAGTACCCGAACAGTCTGAAATTTCAGACTGTTTGATGACATTTAAATGTCATCCAGGAAGGTGCGGGAAGGTGCTTGAAGGTGATAAAAAACCTTTCAGGATTGGCGCTCCCCTAATCAGGCTTCCTCGTGTTAGCTAGGCGGCAGAAGGTGGGCCGAATTTGTTGTGCCCTAAATTAGAGCTTGAAGTGCTGAGTTGGGGGATGCTTTAGTTAGAATGGCTTGCCGGCCCGAGGCCTTATCAACTGCTAACTGGTACAACGGAGTACCCATTGGTACGTTAGGTCTGTAGGGCATATGTAAGGCATGTTGGTCAAACAGGGTTACTGGCTTTCCATTTTAATGCTGTACTTCAGCTTCCTGCACTCTGGGAACGACTTGGTCATGGATGTGGTCATGCGGGGGGTTTCCTGTCATAGATCTTGTCATGTTGCCTCATGACCGGTCATGTTACCGGTCATGAGGCAGAGTCATGTTCATGACAGTTGTCATGCTCCTTATGCAGCATGACTGATCATGAATTGCCACTCATATGTGTAAATTCAGTCATGTTCCCAATGGTCATATCTGGCTATGTGTTCATGTTTTGTTCCTTTCTAAAAAGTGACAATGATATGCCATATGGACTCCCGAATCCCTTCTGAAATGCTGCATAGTAAATTACCTCTATAACAATGTGCACAATGTACTATACAGCATCCCTGCCGGGATTCTGGAGTGCACTTGAATTACCTTCGTTTCAGCCACTTGCAGTGACTTGATATGCATTCAGGCGCGGCAGTAAACAAAGCCCTTAGGCTTAGCTGCACTTATCCAACGCAAAAGATCAGTATATGCCAGCTAGCAGGGCAACTTCCTTTTGGCCTGTTGCCAAGCCTTACTCGGTCAGCTCCCTTACACCCTGTTGTTAATTTGCATGCCATGTGTTACATACTTAAGGCATGTATTTAAGGTTTAAGTAGCAAAGAATCTCTCCTGCTGTGTTCAAGCATGACAAGTTAAGTCACCAGCTCGCACCGTCCCACAGGCACAGCATTGTTGATCTAACTAGCTAAAACATGTGGGAGGTGCATTAGTCTCAACCGCAGGCGCGGCGGCGGCCATACTCCACCCCCTGGCTTTGCACTGGTGCCGATATGCATGTGATCGACTACCATACCAGTTGGCACAGTTGGCGCAGTGAAAATGCAGGGAGGAGTCCGGAGCTACATCCGGTCTGTAAATGATCTTTCGTGGTTTGGATGCCGCCTCCACCGCATTCAATGACATGGCAAACTGGCTAATGTGACCAGTAAGAATGATCACAATGTGTAGGAATACCAGAACATTCACGTTTGTATCAATCGTCGAGCTTCTACTGCTTCTACGCAAGCAAGCATTTGGTCCCGCCATGACAAAAGAGCATCCTATTCTATGGCAGGTTCTGGCCAGGATTTAAATGATGCAAGTTTAGTAGCCACAAAACAACTTCCCAAATTTAAATTTGCAGCCATGTGAACTTTATACCATGCTGTACACTTCCGGACCAGGGTCCGGAATTGTACGGCTTTTCCCCTCTTGCTGCCCAGAAGTCATGTGAACGTGGACAATTTGCAGTACCAATAAGAAACGTCACTGTGTTTAGCACTATGTGATTGCTGTGCAAATGGCACCATCTGGTACCTCCCAGCCCCACCTTCGTCGCTGCCGCTACTGCTGCGTTGCTATTTCCCGACGCCGCCGCGCCTGCCGTTTAGGCTACTGCACCTCCCAGCCCACCTTCGTCGCTGCCGCTGCTACTCTGTTGCTATTTCCCGCCGCCGCCGCGCCTGCTGTTGTTGCTAATTCCCTCCCAGCCACGCCTGTTGTTCAGACTACCGCTGCTACTCTGTTGCTAATTCCCGCCGCCTCCGCGCCTGCTGTTGTTGCTAATTCCCGCCGCCTCCACGCCTGTTGTTCAGACTAATGCACCTCCCAGCCCCACTGCCATCGCTGCCGCGGCTACTCCGTTGCTAAATTCCGCCGCCACCGCGCCTGTTGTTGAGACTAATGCATCTCCCAGCCCCAACACCGTCGCTGCCGCTGCTACTCCGTGCTAATTCCCGCCGCCGCCGCGCCTGCTGTTGAGACTAATGCATCTCCCAGCCCCAACACCGTCGCTGCCGCTGCTACTCCGTGCTAATTCCCGCCGCCGCCGCGCCTGCTGTTGTTGCCAATGCATCTCGCCAGCCTCCGCGCCGTTGCTGCCGCTGCTACTCCGTGCTAATTCCCGCCGCCTCAGCGCCTGCTGTTGTTGCCAATTCCCGCCGCCCCACGCCTGTCGTTCCGCTATGCTACTCCCAGCCCCACTCCCGCCGCCTCAGCGCCTGCTCTGTTGCCAATTCCCGCCGCCTCCGCGCCTGTTGTTCAGACTAATGCACCTCCCAGCCCCACCGCCGTCGCTGCAGCTGCTACTCCGTTGCTAATTTCCGCCGCCGCCGCGCCTGCTGTTGAGGCTAATGCATCTCCCAGCCCCACCGCTGTCGCTGCCGTTGCTACTCCGTTGCTATTTCCCGCCGCCTCCGCGCCTGTTGTTCAGACTAATGCACCTCCCAGCCCCAACACCGTCGCTGCCGCTGCTGCTGCGTTGCTATTTCCCGCCGCCGCCGCGCCTGTTGTTCAGATTAATGCATCTCCCAGCCCCAACGCCGTCGCTGCTGCTGCTACTCTGTTGCTAATTCCCGAGAGAGCGTCTCCCCTGTGCGAACGAGCCTATCCAGGAGGACCAGTGCGTAACATTTCGCCAAGGCGCCCCCTACTGCTATGCCCCAGTAGTTACTCGGCATGCTGGGGTCCCCCTTCTTGTAAATAGGGGTGAGGACGGTAGTTGTAAACTGCCGTGGGAAGTCCCCAGTCGCCCTGATATGTTCCAGAAGCACGTGCAGTACCGGAACAAGCTGATTCACTTCCCCCCATCGCCTGCCCCCACCATTACCCGACGCGGAGCCTTCTTCCTCTCGGGGCAAACGTGCATAGCGGTAATATTCCGACGGCGCTACTTCCAAACCTGGTGCCTTACTGTTAGGCAGCCGGTCAACAGCACGTGCGACTTCCTCCAGCGTGAGGGGGGGGTCTAGGATTTCTGCTGCCTTCGCAGTCCTGCCCAAAACCGAGTGGGATGACCGCCATTCCTGCCCCTCTAGGAACTGCCCAAAGTTAATGAAGTTCAAAAGCCGGTTCGCACCATCAGGCCCTGTCTCCCCTACAGCTGCGTTTAAGAGCCCAGCAAAGTGTTCCCTGAAGACCTCAATATCGTCTATCGCACATCGCTCCCTCAACTTCCCTCCTAAAGCCCGCCACAAAGCTCGTTGGTCTTGCCGACATTTGGCCACAAAATCTCTCATCCTATCCTCCTCATATGCCGCCTTTGCGTGTCTTTTTGCCCGGTTATAATCCGTCCGCGCATGGCGGAAAGCCTCCCACTCCGTACCCGATTTATTACTCACCCGGCCTGGACCCAGTTGTGCTCTACTCTCCAACATGCGTTGCCGTGTTTGTTGACATTCCCGGTTCCACCAAACCGTATTCCCACCTGCCGTCATGCCGGTAGGTCGGTGGGTATCGAAGGCCCTCACCAGGACTTTGTACAGGGCACCTCCAATGCGTTCGACAGCTTGTGTGGTGTTGCAAACTCCCCTCTGCAGGTCCTCGGCCACTTGGCTTAAGGCATTCATAGTGGGGGACCCCTCCTCAAAATATTCCGCGTAATCCTGGTATCGTGCAATATCAAACTCCACCCGGGCTTTCCGGTCTTTACCGTCCCTACACCTGCTTTCGTCATCCACTGTAACATTAAGAACAAGTGTCAAAGGACGGTGGTCGGTGGGCTCCCATCCATCCAACTCGATCAGGTTTCCTACCCTCAGTAACGTGGCGTACTGCTGAAGCACACGCGGAGTCGCTATGAATAAATCGATCATACTACCGCCTGCCTCCCCCTTAGGGAAAGTTAGGCGGCCTTCTGGGTCCCCTCTCATCCGGCCGTTCATCACGAGCATTCCCTCGGATCTGCAGAGCGCCCCAAGCTGGGCACCAAAGAAATTGCAAACTTGGTCCTGGCACTTTCGATTTCCGAGTCCATCATAATTCTGGTGGTCCCTCAGTCCTTCAAAACCCATGACCTCGCATACGGCCTGCGACTGCTCTAAATCCGGGATGTCATTTACGTAAGCAGGTAAGTCCATCAGGGTAGCACGGTTCCGCTCATGCTGTGCTCCAGACAGACGTGCGTTAAGATCCCGGCTATCGTTATCCCCGGCTACACGGTTTTTGTGTTTTTTAGTATAAATATGTTATAAATTATCCAGCTACCTTTTGAAAGGCCGTGTGCTGCAGCATTGTCAAGCCTTGTGCTCCCACTCGGTACTACCCACGCCAGGGGCTCAGAGCTGCGGGAGATGTGTACAGCGGCGGGGCCGGTTCCTCAACCCCGGGGGGACGATTTGCTGCAACACGCGAGAGCTCGCCAAGTGTCCTCGGTTGTGGGACTAAGTACGGAAGTCGTACGGAACAGACAGACAGGTGGACTGACAGACAGACAGAATGACAGATGGGGAAACGGATAGTAAGGGAAATGCGCAAGCGCGGGGTCAGGCCGTGTCGTCGTACTGTGTCGTACTGCGTCGCGGTTAATTAGTGGTTGGTGCGGGTGGTGATGCAGTTGCTTGCACACGGCTTGTGCGTGTTTAGCACACAGGTGATGTGAGACGGGATGCGTGCTCCATGTGTTGTGGCCAAAGTATACGACCTTTAGGGCAGGGAACGACACGGTTGGGCGGGAACGAACCTA